CTAAGTGTAATTTTATTTCAGTCTCCTAATTAAATTTATAATATTTCAGGCAGCTTCGCGTTCAACTGTGGCGGTGAGACAGCGCAGATCTCGTCGACGCAGACATACAACGACACAGAGTGGCACGTGGTCACTCTCACCCGCAGCGGTGGGCATGGCAAGCTGGCCGTGGACTCCGAGCTGGTGGGCGAGACCAGCGCACTCTGCAGCGTGCCCAGGACCCTCGCCCCACTCTTCTATTACGGAGGTCTCGGGGACCTTAACCAGAACACCCTCTTCTTATCTCATAATCTTCAGGTAAGTGGCAAAAAAAATGGTATGTGGCGTCACCATCACCATCGGTTTATTATTGGCTGTTATTAATTCTGTCAAAATTTGTCTTAGCAAAAGGTTTAGTTTGTACACTAACTCGCTTAGTAGGTAGCAGTAAACAATCATTTTAAGTTTAGGAGACATGCTTCGGCACGAATGGGCCGGCTTTACCGGAGTGATACCACGGCCTCACGGAAAACCGACGTGAAGTAACGCTTGCGTTGTGTTTCTTGGTGTGAATGAAACATCACTGTGAATTGGGCCTCCGGTAACAACCGGAGGCTCAATTCCTGAATCCCTAACAATCTTAAAACTCCTAATCCCCAAAAGACCGGTAACGCACTTGTAACGCCTCTGGTGTTCCATGGGCGACGCCGATTGCTTACCATCAGGTAGGTGATCCGTATGCTCGATTACCGGCTAATGCCTTAAAAAAATGTGATCGACAATAGAGTACCTACGCACCTACATACAACCTATTCAGTCGAGACTTGGAAGAAACCCAAGCTGTAGGTATTTTTCTGAATACGGACTCTGGCAAGGAGTTCCACTACAAATTCAGTTTGTGTTAGTTCTGTTGTCTTTTTATTGACGAGAACCTTGACCAAAGGTTAATTTTATTGTCTTTCCGATTTTGGACAATTCTCAGTAATAGAATTGAGTCTATATAAAAGTCAGTCCGCAACTATTTACAATAAGTAACATATTGTTTTGTTGCAGCTTCTTGAATACTTCAAAGTAGGTGACGAAGTTTCTATATCGATGGAGATTCGTCAGCACGGGTCTTCTCCTCAGTGTCCACGGCAAGAAAGACTATCTAGTTCTGGAACTCCTGGAGAACGAAGTAGTTGCTATTTAATGTTGAGAACGGCAACGGACCTTTCCGAGCAAGTTACTCGCTCGGCAACAAGTTTGCGCTCTGTGATGGCAACTGGCATAAGATTCACGGTAAGCTAACTGCACGAGAGCTCCAGTTTGGTTCCCAGACTTAATATTTGTGGAGTGGTTTGCAATACCTAAAATGTATGAGATGTATAACATAACTGATATAAAAGTGGTTCTTTGAGAAACCTGGCTTTAGTACTTAGAAAGTAGTGGTTTAGGTACTTAGAAAATAATGCAAAATAAAACGTCAGAGTTTACAAGTTTCATTACAATTTATTATCGCATTTCAATTGTGACTTTACACATTATAAATATTGAGATTTGGACTTCATATAATATATATAAAAATTTATTGAATTTAACAATTCAAGATAGAAAATATTTTTATACAATAATATATAATATTATAATACATTAATAATTAATGTTTAAAATCCATATCAATTGAATTTAAATTACATGTAAACTTTTCGAAATACATTGGAATTATGAATTTACACATTAAATGCATTACATTATATGGATAACATTAATATACGAAAGATGGTTCGAATGCTGACATTGCAACAGATTCCTATCACAAATATATAGAAGACATTGAAATATTCACATTATTATTTTTACAATCAGCTGTAGCAGCAGTAAACAAATTACTTCAAAAACAATCTCAATTGAAGAGGCTACATTTATACATTTCAAAATATATTAGAATTAGGAATAATGTTTTATACAATACTAATATTAATTATCATTATTTTAACATACTAGGACGTTCTCCTACACACATCGTGAGAAACGTCTACAAACATACAACTTCACGAACACATTGTTTTTTCAGGTCTAGATGTATTAATCTAGACTCAAAAACACAATTAGGTCGCTGCCTCGAATTTTGCGGGAGCGGCGAGCACCGCTTGACTGGAGTGCACCATTTGACTGGAGTGTACCTACCGCTTGACTGGAGTGCACCGCTCGTTGCCCACCGCCGCGCTGATGTCCCGCCGCTGTTTTAAAGAACCTGTCCATTTGATTTTACGCATAAGATCCTGCCGTTCTCGCGCCGCCACCGCCGCCGCACCGCTCCCCGCAAAATTCGAGGCAGAGGCCTATTAAAAATACAAATAGAAATTATGTCAATTTTGTTTAAATATAGGTACTCCATTTAACTTAGATTAAATATTTGTTAAATTAACCTTAAAAAAAAGCTCAGCTTATTTATTACATTTGATAATAGAATTAAATCTGTATTACAACTTTACGGTCGCATGCATTATACAATAAAAAAATATTACTTAGCCTTAACAATATTACTTTACAATCAGCCTACCTACAATAAATTATTATTATAATTATCATTATTTTAACATGCTAGGACGTTCTCCTACACACACCGTGAGAAACGTCTACAAACATACAACTTCACGAACACATTGTTTTTTCAGGTCTAGATGTATTAATCTAGACTCAAAAACATAATTAGGTCGCTACCTCGAATTTTGCGGGAGCGGCGAGCACCGCTTGACTGGAGTGCACCATTTGACTGGAGTGTACCGCTTGACTGGAGTGTACCTACCGCTTGACTGCAGTGCACCGCTCGTTGCCCACCGCCGCGCTGATGTCCCGCCGCTGTTTTAAAGAACCTGTCCATTTGATTTTACGCATAAGATCCTGCCGTTCTCGCGCCGCCACCGCCGCCGCACCGCTCCCCGCAAAATTCGAGGCAGAGGCCTATTAAAAATACAAATAGAAATTATGTCAATTTTGTTTAAATATAGGTACTCCATTTAACTTAGATTAAATATTTGTTAAATTAACCTTAAAAAAAAGCTCAGCTTATTTATTACATTTGATAATAGAATTAAATCTGTATTACAACGTTACGGTCGCATGCATTATACAATAAAAAAATATTACTTAGCCTTAACAATATTACTTTACAATCAGCCTACCTATAATAAATTATTATTATAATTTAGAGTTCAAAAACAATCTCAATTCAAGTGACGTTACATTTATACATTTCGAAATACATTGGAATTATGAATAATGTTTATACAATACTAGTATTAATTATCATTACTTTGACATAATGGGATGTTCTCCTATACACTTCACTATGTATTGTGTCTCTCTCACTAGAGACGTCTACAAACACACAACTTCACAAACACATTGTATTTTCGGGTCTATGTACTAATATAGACTCAAAAAAATTATTAGGGCGCTGCCTCGAATTTTGCGGGCGTGGCGGACACCGCTTGACTGGAGTGCACCGCTCGTTGCCCGCCGCAGCGCTGCCGCGCCGTTGCCTCGTCGCCGCGCCGCTGCCTCGCCGCCGCGCGCAGCCTCGTCGCCGCGCAGTTGCCTCGTCGCCGCGCCGCTGCCTTGCCGCCGCGCCGCTGCCTTGCCGCCGCTGCTTTCGAGAACCTGGCCTTTTCATTTTATGCATAGGATCCTGCCGCTCCCGCGCCACTACCGCCGCCACCTCGCTGTCCGCAAAATTCGAGGCAAATTTTCACATTTTCAAATTTCAATCACAATCAAATTTTTACAAACTAATATTAAAATTATAATTACAAATAGCCAAAAATTAAAACATTTACACATTAAAATTACCTTAAAAAATAAGCTGAGCTTATTACGACCTTAAAAAATAAGCTGCTCGACACGGGATCGAACCCGAGACCCCTTGCCCGGCAGTCGCATTTGTGACCACTCGGCCAATGAGGCAGTCTAGTAGTAATAAGTAATATTTCATTAGCTGGAATGCCAACTAATAAAATACTATTTTAATTAATAATATTTTATTAGCTGGAACGCCAGCTAGTAAAATACTATGCTTATTCAGAATTAATTAATCTGTACTACAGGCGTTACGGTCGCTATTGCTATTTCCGTATATTAATTAAAAGTTTTCTACAAATTATATTTCTAAATACTACATGACCAAAAAAAAAATTAAAAAATATAAAAATAGGAGCCGACCAGTAGCGGGCGCATGGTCCAAGCTACCGGTGGTTAGAGCTCCAGATATTTTACTATTATTTATACATTTACTAATATTACAAACCATGCGCATACATACCTTATGAATCACTACATTGATTATTCACATTTTAAAATATGTATTATCTGTGTATAATACATTATCTAATTAATATATATCTATGATTAGACAAAAATTTAAACTAAAATTAAAGGAATATATTTCATAGGCCCACATTGCATACTTGCCTGGCGGCAAGCGATGATGCAGTCTACGATGGTGCATAAATATACATTATTGTGGTGCAGAAATTCTCTACAAATTATATGTCTAAATACTACTGGACCAAAAAAAAAATTTTTTTTAATTATAAAAAATATGAGCCGTCTAGTAGCGGGAGCATAGTCCAAGCTGCCTGTGGTTAGGGCTCCAGCTATTTTACTATTATCTATACAATCTCTAATATTACAAACCATGCGCATTCACAACTTAGAAAACACTACATCTAATCATGACATAACTACTTATTATCTATTTCATGCATTTCAAAACTAACGGATCGCAGCAGCTGGTTGCCCAGCCATGCCAGCCGTGTAGTTATCAATTGTTCTTATTCACACTTATT